TCTTTCCCTCCCAACCCCAGGCAAAGCAAGGGAGGTTGATGCACATCTTGCAGGACTGTGTCAAGAGCTAATAAATGAATCCTGGCTTAAGTCCAGGGTGAGGCTACCCAGCATAGGACCACACTTTCCCTCCCCAAACGACCACGTCAGGCAGGACGCAAGCAGAAGCAGCGTTTGGAAGAGGACATGCTGTATTTGAGCATTTCTTCTAGCCAGGGACCGAATGGGCCACTGTGTGAGTACAAGAGCTCCCTGATCTGGCTCTGTGCTGGCACAAGAAAACCCAGACCGAGCAAAGCGTGCTTGCAAACAACAGCTGAGGGAGATAAGGGATATAAATGGGCCTGGAGATCACTGAAAGTTTAATTCCCTTCTTCTCTCTCCTTTAGGATGCCAGGAGTGCCTTGACCAGGTACGTGGCTCTCCCTTTCCGGAGGGGACAGTTGTCCCCAGCACAGTGTCACAAAGTGGACAGGAATGGGGGTGCAGGAGGGGTTATCCTCTCTACCAGAGTCCCCAGCGCTCAGGGTGAGGAAGAAGCAAGGGAGGAGATGGCCCTGGGACGAGATCACATCCCCACCACCTCCTCCGTTCAGCTGGAGGAAGCCAATATCCACCATTGAGGAGGTCCAGAGCAAGTGTGTGTCCTCCACAGGGACACTGGGACCACTGATATGCCCAGCAATGTCTCAACTGACTCAACCTGATGCTTGGGGAGAAATAAGCTTACCCGGCAGCTTTTCTAAGCAGGGTTTCTACGTAGCCTGTTCAGCAAGGAAGGAATACAAACGTCTTCTCCTTCCAGGTGTGAAGCAAGGACTTTCCAGCAACTGACAGAGAAGTTTCCCAGGGTGGAAAAGAGACTCAAGGATTTATCTCAGAAAAACATCGTTCTGAAGGAAGCCCTGAGGAAATTCAAAGGTACAAAGGAAGGGGAAAAATCTAAACACACTTCTGCAGCTGGAAAGGAGCGGACACTAGGCAATTACCAGCATAAAGCCCCGGCTAAGGAATGCTAACGATGAGTTACTCAATAACCCTCCTATCTGGGGCTGGAACTGGAAGAGGGAGGGTAACTGTGTTCCGAGGCGTATTTGCACACTCGTCTGAATGCTTGAGTAATGTGAAGGACGGGAGCAAGCCCCTCCCTTTAGCTACACAAAGGAAATGAATCAAATTCTTGATTCCGGTCCTATTTAAACCAAACAGGCTGTGGGTAACGTCTAGCCATCCATGAGGGAGTCAGCGTGAAAAATCAACATATTGCAAATGGATGGTGGTGTATACATAGATAAGCCCTGAATGAGCTATTTTGAGACCGTTCTCCACGTTCAGATAACTGTCCCATTCCCTCCTCCGATCTCCAATTAGTAACTGGTGCAGTCAACTCTGAATTAAAGAAATATCCTCATAAAGCTGGTCACGTTGGGTTTGAAGGTCCATCTATCCATGAGCGGGACTTGTTCACCTGGTCATTTTGCTTGTTTTGCAAGGGGAAAAGTTCACCTCCTCGTATTTACCCGTTTCTAATACACTCCCTCTCCCCGGTAAACAAACTAACAGCACTTCTCTCCTCCTCTCTCCTTCCAGAGAGTCTCCCAGTTGAACTGGATGTGCAATGGGGTAAGTCACGGGAGACTGGAGGTATACTGGGGTGATAAAGGGGGCCCAAGCGAGAAAAGACAGCAAAAGCAGGGAATTCACACTCTCCTGGTGGGTTGGCAAGATTAATTTCTCTTCCCCTTTGATCGGAATTAAAAATAGCACAAATCATTGGAGTCTTTAAATAGACCTGTATGGCATATTTCATGGAGAAAGCCTTTACCGAGCAGCTTCGGTCAGGCCAAGATTTCATCCCTGGAAAAAAACAGGAGGGTGCAGATGGAGAGAAATATCCATCACCTTCCCTCTGACATGCTGGTTTTCTTCTCTCGTGCTTTCCTTCCCATCAGCAAACGTGACTCTGGATCCAGACACAGCAAACCCCCACCTCGTCCTCTCCGAGGACCGGAGGAGCGTGAGGTGGGATGAAACGCCCCAGAATTTGCCCAACAATCCCCAGAGATTTGATACCTACTGCTCCGTGTTGGGTTGCGAAGGCTTCACGGTGGGGAGGCACTACTGGGAAGTGCAGCTGGGGAGCAGGGGATTTTGGGCTGTGGGAGTGGCCAAAGACTCGGCGTGGAGAAAGGGTTGGATTAACCTCGATCCTTCCCAGGGAATTTGGGCTGTTGGCATCTGTGGGGACAAGTTTCAAGCTTTCACCTCCTTCGAAACAGTTCAGCCTCTGAATGGGAGGCCAAGGACTATCCGGGTCTCCCTGGATTACGAGAAGGGACATGTGGCTTTCTTCGATGCCGATAACGAGACCTTGGCTTTTGCTTTTCCTCCGACTTCTTTCAATGGAGAGAAAATCCTGCCTTTCTTCTGGGTTTGGGAGTCCCGGATCCAGCTGGCTCCCTGAGACAGCATGGGCAGCAAGATGGACATTACACGCTCTGGACAAGCCTTTGGTTTGATCCAGGAAACCACACTATATTTCGGGACTCTATGGACGGTAAAGAATAAAGTGGAGAAAATGAGTCCCAGTATCCACTTTGAATCTCATTCTCATGGGGTTGTCAAGAGCAGCAGATTGAGAAGGGATCAACTTGGGCAGACCTCTGGATTTTTTAACATTTGGGTACTCTCTAAGATTTTGCTAGGGAATATGACCCTGGGACGAGCAGGAAAATGAAGCCTATAATTTGTGCAACAACGCCTGGGACACCGATTTCACGGCTTTAATCCCTTCTACTCTTCTCCCATCCTTTCCAATTTTTCCTTACCTTGACATTCAACAACGGCGTTCCTGCAGGGCTGAAGAAGCTGGCTCTGGTTCCTGGTTTAGTCACGAGAAAGGAAAAGAGGATACCACTGAATTAAGCGCAATAACTGCTATTTTCCCACCAAGACCTCTTCTGAGCCCAAAACCTCACAGTATTGGCAAGAACATACACATTTTAAGGCTTTGGTGTTGAACCCTGTGGATTTCAGCTGCCTTTCTCAGAGTCGTGGGGTAGGAGAAATCAGAGGTTGGAGGAGTAAAGATGAACAGAAAGAGCTTGAACTCTGCCTTTCTGCCATTTATATGTATCCATTTGGGTGAGGAAGCTTAGTAAGCAGTTTTATATAAATTTTTGTATGCAAAATGACTGCATTAAAGTGTTTTTCTACATTTCAAGGGCTGTTTTCTCTTTCTTGTTAGAGAGAAACTGGGAAAATGGTGCTGTGCCACTACCAGCATGGCAAACCCTGGTGGCTTTGCTGCCCTCTCTTGACCTGTTTCTTGTAAAGCTCAAATGAAAGCACTTAACAAAGCCTTTCTCGCTTCATCACAGCTGTGATGGGAGGGAATAGCAATGACTCTTCCTGCTTATGTGCCTGAAAACCACCTGGACTGGAAAGCGGTTGAAAGGCAATGGCAAATGAACGATGCTGGAAAGAAGGGACAACAACAATTTTTGAAAGTAAAGGCATTTAAAGAGGAGGAAAAGGAAGGAAAAGCATCAGTCCAGACTCTCAGCTATGTCGCTGAAGATCAGAGAAACCTACTGAGACCTTGCAAGGTCTTGGAGGCACCAGCAATCTCCAGGGACAAGAGAGCATCTTTGATCCATAGCAGTCTCTGCAGGGTGTTAGTCTGATGTCCCACCTTACCTCAAGGGCAAAGCTGATGTCCCAGGGGTCAAGAGCGGCAGAAACTTCTTCTGACAGCCAGGAAGGCCCTGCCCTGCAGCGAGTTGTACATTTGAACCCTTAGGGTCACCCAAGAGATGTTAGAGTCCTCCCAAACAGCTCTGCAGATGCTGTCCCAAAGGGTGCTGAGATCCTTCCCAAGCCTTGGCCAGGTCCTGTCACTCCTGATATCCCAGAAGCATTTTCAGCTAGTGGTTGCGTCCCACCCCAGCTATACCACAACCTCTCTTAGGTGCTAGTAGGGTGTGAAACTCCTATTCTAGCTGCTGTTGAGTCACCAAATCCACAGGTCTCCAACTGATTCAAAGGACAGGCTTTGGAGACTGAAAAATCCCAGTGCCTTCGGGAAAGGGTAAAAATGGGATGGGCATCTCCAATTCTTTTCCTCCCCAGCTGCCTAACTGCTACTTCCCAGCACCGGCAGAGCAATGTAAGTAAATATATCGCCTAAAGCCCCGCTAGAAAGGGGCTGGATCTCAGTTCAACCAATGGCTTAGAATTAGGAAGAGAAGTCTTCCTCCTTCCTGACCATTCAAAAGTGAAACAGACTTTGTCGCTCTCCATGGCAGCCAGGATGTCTGTGGAAAGCCTCCAGGATAAAGCCTCCTGCTCCATCTGCCTGGAACTTTTCCAGGACCCCGTGTCCATCCACTGCGGGCACAGCTTTTGCCAGGCGTGCATCACTCAGAACTGGGAAGGACTGACCACCAACTTCTCCTGCCCCCAGTGCAGGGAGACGGTGCCCCAGCAGAGCCTCTGACCCAACTGGGAGTTGGCCAACATCACTGAAGTAGCCAAGAGCTTGAACCTGTGACCGGTCAAAGAGGTGGAAGGAGGGGAGAACTTCTGCAAGGAGCACCAGGAAACCCTGAAGCTCTTCTGCGAAGATGAAGAAAGGCTTATTGGCGTGGTGTGCAACAGGTCCAAGGCTCACCATAACCATTCTGTGGTTCCCGTGGACGAGGCTGCCCAGCAGTACAAGGTGAGGTGTTTTGGGGCACGTTGACGCACAAAGGGCCAGAAGTTCCCGGTGTTGCTGCTCTTGATGGGTGCAGATACCTGTATAGCTTTTGGACTGTGGGATAAACCACCTGTGGACTCACACATCCTTGTGTCTTGATGCCAACTGTTGAGGTGGCATCACCTGCCCTGAGGAAGAGGTGGACATAGGTCATGCTTTTGGTCAAGAGCGTGATGACCAAAGGGTCATCGCCCCCAGGGTTCAGTCACAAGCAGAGGCTTAGAGGAGAGCAAGAAACCGATGCATATGATTTCTCACCACCACAATCCCCATGTACTGTTCTAACCTCACAATTTGCAATGCCAGGGGTTTCCTGCGCCTCATGAGGGTTTGTTTATCCAGCAGCCTTAAATGGCTCTCTCCTCCAGGATGCGGGTCCCTTATCAAGATCAGCTATGCTGAAGATCAGTAGGAAAAAAAAGAAAGACATCCTCAGCCCTTCTCCTACCCCACAGCTCCCTGAAATCTCCTTGACCTTGTTTAAAAAAAAAAAAAGGGGGGGAGGTTAATAGCTTTGAGACAGTCATGGGTGTCATAAAACTTTCCCAACACTTACTTCAAGAGCAGTCAAGAGTTCACCATTGTTTCTGCTGAGCATGGCAAGTTATGCCAAAATCCATGAGATCTGCAACCATGACTGAATTTCCAAAGAAATTTACTTCCCCCCTCGATCTTCGCCCTCAGCCTCTTATTTGTATTTTTTTCTAAATTCTGAAAGCTTTACATGAATTACTAGCATCTGACTTAAGACTAAGCTAAGAAAAAAACCACTTTTCAAATGAAGGTAGTGTTTCTCCCAGCTAAATGGCCCTGCTCACAGCAACATGCCATCCTCCAGAGATCGAAACTTTCTTACATCAGCAGCAGACGCAGGTGCCAGGCCCGTCCATCTCCTGCCGCTGTGGACCAGCTGGTGTTAGATGTGAAAGCTCTTCAGCTGGCCTGCTTGCAATCTGGAATGAGCCTGCTCGAATTTTGCATTGAGGTTTGTTTTTTTTTTTCCTCTTGGCTTCACGCCTCACGAGGTACTTTCCAGCAATGACACCTCTGCGGGCAAGCTCAGGCCAACCTGAAGTTGGTTTCCTCCTGCAACAGAGAAGCTGGAAAGACCCAGCTTCTGGGTCGGAATGGGTTTTGAGCCAGCCGTGGACCAGGAAGCACCGTTGGTGTTGCAATAGCAAAGAGCCTACCTCTGATGCCAGACAACGATGCCATGAAACAAGGGACTTCTTTCTTTCCTCTCAGGAATGAATTCAGACCCAACTGCAGCTTCTGAAATTAGAGCAAGAGGCACTTCAATCTTCCGTGGAGGATAGAGAAGACAGAGTCCAGGACTATGCTGTAGGCACCCATCAGTTTTCCTTGGCAGAGGATGGGGAAAGAGAGGAGGAACACCTCCTCTTCTTCTCTCCCATCGGTGGGTGATGCTCAAGGGGTGTGGGGAAGGGAGGGTGGGTTTGTATCTTCCCCAAATGCATCTTTTTGGTGGATCCCCCTAACGCATGACCCACTGTCGACTCTTGATGCTCTTGTCCCACCCTCTACTTTCCTTTACCCACTTCGGTTTGCCCTTGGCAGAAGAGGACAGAAGCTGAAAAGCAGAAGATTGTGACCAAATATAAGCAGCTGCAGAAGTTCCTGGAGGAGCAGGAGTCCTTTTTGCTGGCCCAGCTGGACACAGGGATAATGAACACACATGAAGAAATCCTCACCAGGCTTTTGGAGGAGACCACAAGCCTGGGCACACTGGCTGGGGAGATGGAGAAGATATGCCAGCAGCCAGGCTGTGAACTCCTGAAGGTGAGACCCCAGGCTTCCCAAAATTACCGTGAAGGCACTGGTTGAGCACCCGCTTGGTCTCCAGCTCCCAAGTTTTATACCCCAACATGCTAAAAGAGCCACTTCATTACAGTGGGACCTCGGTACTCCAAGGGGAAGTATTCCAGGTCACTAAGTCTCTTTCTCTCTCATCTAGGACATCAGAACCACCTTGTGCAGATATGTGGTCCTTCTCCTATCAAAATTTCACCACAACAGAGCAGCTTTGTGGCAGGATACCAGGAGAAATCACGTAGCGACGGGTTGGCCCTTCTGCAACACGGCCTTTGGACTTGACTGAGGACGCTGGGGTTTGGAAGAAGGGCTCTTCCTCTCTGCTTAACTAATGATAAATTCAGACACGTACTGGCACCGACGACTCAGTCACCTGCATGAGCTGAACGAGGAGGACAGGGTTCCATTTCTGAAGGGCGCAGGTTCCTGCACTCTCAAAGTGAATATCTGGTGGGGGCATGTTGGGGAAGACTCTTAAGCCATTGCTGAAGAAATAGCTCAGCGTAACAAAAATGAGCATCATCCTGGAACAAGTTGTCAGGGTGCAGCAAGGGCTGGTGGCTCCCTATGGAGCTGCACGCAACCGTACAGGGAGTGGAGACATCACCAGCCATAGCCCCATTCCACGCACCTGAGCAAGGAGAGCCAAGCAGGGTTTGGGAAGAGCAGCTGGGGGCAGCCCAGAGCATCAGGCAGGTCCATGGGCAGGAGGCAGGGCTGGGGGCAAGCCAAGAAGGCAGCCCATGGGGTGTGCCAGCAGGGTCCATGGCCACACATGGATGCTCCTCCAAAGCAGCTTGCAAAAGGGCTAAATGCTTCGAGGCTTAAATAGAGCCCCTGGACCATGGGCAGGGGGTGGGGGGGCCCAGGTGGGGCAGCTCAGGGATGTTAATTCCCATCAGGACCCTGACACAGCCACCTCATCCTTTCCCAGCTGAAGCAGATCAATAAAAATCTACAAAGGCGATGTGTGATCATGTTGTGTAATTTGCTGTCTAAGATGCGCGATACAGTGTAGACCCATCATCTTCCCTCCACTAATTTTTCCCACTGACTGCTGATAAGACATTGAGTAGCAAACTACAATCAGATGTAAATACATCCCCTCTTTCCTTCCAGGTGTGAGAGGGAAACGTTCTCGCAGCCACTCAATATTCCTCCTGAGCTGGAAAAGAAATTCTGTGATTTCACAGAGAAAACCGCAGTCGCCAAGGAGGCTATGGAGAAATTTCAAGGTACCATGCGCAGGTCCAGAAAGGAAAATGTCATCGTGCTTCTTAGTGGGGAGGGATGGAGTGAAGCCATGTGAAAGAAATACATCCTGGTGGTTGAATGAGGGATTTTTTTCAAGATCCAATAATGAGATTGCAAATGAGCAGCGAGTGTTCGTCTGATATTACCTGCCTGCTGCTGCTGTTGCCTGTTGCATTGGGTCCCGCGTGTTTCACATTTTCTTTGGAAGTTGCTTAAAATAACTGGAGGAAGGAAAAATCATCCTCGTTCCTCTCTAAAACCCACTGCACAGGGAGATGCTAAACCTGAGTTTTCTGCACTGTCAAACACAGCAAGTCTGTGGAAATAGAGGCAGTGAAAAGTCAGCAGCAATCCAGGAGTTGGAGTCGTTTGCGGCTCGGTTGGATCCTGACTCAATGTGTAAGGGGAATCAGGATTGGGAATAAACACAGAAATGGGACTGCTCCTTTTGGTGTTGGCTCAACGTGATCCCTGACGCACTGGGCTTTAGTCAAGCAAGAGATTGGACTTTTTCCTTGAGAATATAAAACAGACACAGGGGTTCAGATGAAGGTCCATCAAGCCCTTGTCCTGTCCCCAAAAGTAGGTGCCTAGGAAAGCAGATAAAAGCAGGGCAAGGATGACGATGGGCCCAGGAGCTCCGCTTAAGCAGCCTAAATGGATAATTAAAGAATTACTAGGTTATAATGAGAGGCATGGAGAGATTTGATGTCTGGCTCTGTCCTCTCTCTAACCCTGTTGGGCAGTTGCAGATAGTGATTTGGTCCTTCTCCTTTCCAGGCTGGATAATCCCAATCTCTCCCCATCCATCCTGGGCTTCAGTTTGGTGGCCTGACACTGCCTTGTACTGGGAAGCCCCAGACTGGTCCCCGTACCCAGCTATGGCCTCACATGTGCTGATGGAGGGGAGAAATCCCTCCCCTCTCCACTCTTGCTAACGCAGCCCCGTATGGGGTTGATATCTTTGGTGCATGGTCCCACCGCTGACTCATGGACAGCTTGTCACCCCCAAGACCCCAGAGTCCTGTTCCACGGTTGGTCCTGGTGCAAGAGGGTATCCCACCCCGAGTTTCATGAGATTTCTCCCCAAGCACTTCTCCAGCCCATCCTGGTCCGGCTGAAGAGCAGCCCTGCCCTCCAGCCTCTTATCTGCTAACTCACATCTGGCTCAGAAAGTCAACTGAGCCGAAACCGGTGGGAGGCTGGCAGGAGGTGAGGAGGAAGCACTGTGCGTGCTCGCTCTCTTCTCGCTCCTCTTCAAGCCTCCTGTGCCGCCGTTTCGTGGCGTTAGGGCTGGGGGTCGATTTCCCCCGTTTGCAACGAGAAAACGGCCCAGCCAGGAGGAGGACCGTCCTCCTCTTCTTCCTGCAAAGTGAAGCTCATTTGATCCTATCCCGGAGGTAGGTTGGGAAGAGCCATGGCTACGCAGAGCCCGTCGGAAAGGCTGCACAGCGAAGCCTCCTGCTCCATCTGCCTGGCTTATTTCCGAGACCCCGTCTCCATCCACTGCGGCCACAACTTCTGCCGGGCGTGCATCACCCGCTGCTGGGAAGGGCTGGAGGTACATTTCTCCTGCCCACAGTGCAGGCAGACGGCTTTGCAGAAGAGCTTCCGTCCCAGCAGGGAGCTGGCAAATATTGCCGAAATCGCCAGGCAGCTGAGCCTGCGGGCAGGAGGAGGAGGAGCAGCGGGACGGGAGAATTTGTGCAGGCAGCACCAGGAGGCTCTGAAGCTCTTCTGCAAGGAGGACCAGCAGCCCATCTGCGTGGTGTGTGACAGGTCCGAGGCTCACCGCTTCCACGCCGTGGTCCCCATTGAAAAAGCTGCCCAGGAATATAAGGTAAAGCCCAGGCATGTGCTTGCAGCTCCCTCAACCTCACGGAAAATCCCCTTTCAGGGTCGAAGTGCAGCCGTTCGGGTGCATCTGCTCTCCGTACACCTCTGTGGTGCAGCTGCAAATGGGGAGCTTTGGGTGTCACTTACCCACGTGCTTCCTGTTTGCATTTTATTGCATGGACATTTGTTTTTCGCAATGTTCCTCTCAGGGTTTCCCCCCCCTCCCCCCTTTTAATTTATTCATCTTTGCCAACAGCCTGGGAGAAATTAAAAAATACCTTGTAAGCCTTTTTCCTCTTTGAACTCTGCTGTTGACTCAACTGTACTGAAATACTGACAATGATTAATATTCAAAATGTAAAAATGCCCACGAATTCCTTTTTTTTTTTCTTTTTTAACATGGTTACATCAGTTATTGAGGGCAATTCTGCATATTTGTTCCTCTCTTCACTGTTTCTTTAGTTTCAAATACAGAGAAATAACTTTCTCCTGTCTCTTCCCCTTCTCTGCTCCTTTTCTGTTTTCCTGCTAATCCAAACCTGTTCTCGTCATCTTTCTCACCAAGAGGTCGAGCACTTGGCAGAGCCATGCAAACACGGTGCAACATCGTGCAGCGTTGACAGGAGGAACTCCTTGCTGCAAGATGTTGCTGATGCTGAAGGTTTCTGTGGGTTCAGAAAGCACTTATAGAAATGCACGCTAAATAAATCCACTGAGGGTTATTAAATACAGAGATATTTATCCCAGAGGCACCAATTTCCGGAGGCTGCAAGTGTATTTGAGGGAAATCTCACTACGCGCTTATCTTGCTCTTATGTGCTTCCCAGGACACGGGCTATCGATTACTGTTGGTGTTTTGCTCTTCTGCAGAATTTTTCCCTGATGTTTGCAGCGAGGTTGGTGTTTGCAGGATGCATTTTCTTTGCACAGATCTTCAGAACATCGTAGGTCACTTTTGGACCTTCCTCCTCCTCCAGCTTTTCTCCTTGCAGAGGACCCAGTGTTTAGGCAAAGCCTCTCCCATCTAAGACGAGGGCAGAAGTAATTTTAGTGGAGAAAAAGGATTTTTCTCAGCTCCTCCAAGAACATCTTTTCTTTTTCCTCAGGAAGAAATCCAAGCCCGCCTACAGGCTTTAAAGGAGGAGAGAGAAAAATACCTGGAAAGCAGAAAAACTGGAGTAAGGAAGAGCTCGTACCTGGTAGGTGCCCTCCAGCAGGAGCCTGGGGGAGCGTGGGTCTCCCCACCCACCCCAGCTTTGCTGGTGTATTTTGAGGCCAGATCTTGCATATTTGGTTTGCAGAGTGTTGTGCCATTTGCTCTGGGCACCGGCCAACCCTGTGTTTATCTGCTGGGGTTTCACATCAGCTGGAGCCTGCACCAGGGAGATAACATTGCAGCTCCTCCGCAAGGGAGCTGGGGGGCCAGACAGCCCCCAGCCTGGTATAGAGAGATGGGCTGGAAGGCTTTTTTCCCCTAAACCCTCTATATCTCCCTCTTACAGAGCCCAGTTGAGGTTGCATCTTTTGGTTTTGCTTCCAGGCTAAGCCTCCTGAATAGTCCCTGCTACTGCCTAAATCCCCAGAAAGAGGGTTTACTGTTAAATTCACCCTTGTATTAACTGAGTGTCACTGAGGACATGGTATCCTAGAACCAGCCTGGTGGCCTTGAAGCATTAATCTGTTTTTCTTGGGCATGGTGGGATTTTTCTGTAGCCCCCATCATCTCCTGCCCATCTTGCAGAGCTTCACCGGAGGCTACTGTGATTCCGTCTGCAAAGGTCTGGGGTTGTTGCAGCCCCACAGACTGCGTCAGCCTCAGAGATGTGACACTAATAGAAACTAGAATGATGTAAAAATAATCCATGAGGGAAGTTTTTGCTAGTGTTTCAGGTGCTAGAGTCGTAGAGAGGTCGCGCCATGCCTTCTGCTGCCTGGGGAGGTCTCCCGCCCCTCTTTCATCCCCTTTGCCCTCATCCCTGATCCTGGCAGGAGAAAACCAAAAATGAAGGGAAGAAGATAGTGTGTGAATTCGAGCAATTGCACCAATTTTTGAAGGACCAAGAGCGCCTCCTCCTGACCCAGCTGGCAGACCTGGACCGGGCCATCACCAGGGTCCAGGAGGAAGCAGTGGTAAAGGTCTTGGAAGAAGTGTTCCACCTCGACACCCTGATCTGGGAGATGGAGGGGAAATTCCAGCAGCCGCCAAGCCAATTCCTGCAGGTGAGAGCCCAAAGCATCAGGGCTGGTTGGGAAAGGAGGGACAGAGCAAAGCCTGAGACCTGGGAGCCAAAATTCAGCCCCATTGGAACTCCCTGGTGTCTTCTAGCATTGCGGCAGGTGGCATCATCACACGGGTAGCGTCCTTCTTTGCTACTGCATTGCCATAAAAATATGTAACTTTTGTTAGAAGACACAACACTTGTTGTTCCTCTTCCCCAACTGTCTCTCCTCTCTCTTCCCACCTTTAGGACATCAAAAGACTCTTGAATAGGTAACGTGGCTCCTTCTCACTTTACCCACACTCTGATGCTTGGAGAGGTCTGGATGCTGGCTGGGTGAATCCTGAGGTCGGGGTTTCAAACCAGATGGATGCAGTCGATAGCTCAGCCTCCCACAACGGTGCTTTGTTTGACAAAAATGTCCGTTCAGCGACTGCCCGGGGGAAAACAACTGCAAAGAAACAGGGCAGGGAAAAGGGGGATTTTTATGTGCTCCTGGATAAGTATCCTCAGCCCATCCCATAGCTTCTCCTGGATTGTTTAATGAGAACAAAATGAGCAATCAAATATATCACACATGTTTTTTTACCCTCTTTTGCTCTCTTCGCAGTTGTGAGATGAAGTTCAACCCTCCAGTGGAGATTTCCTCCGAACTGGAAAGAAGACTTGAGGACTTTGTTCAGAGAAATGTCCTCGTGAGAGGCATGCTGAGGAAATGCCAAGGTACCGAGCAGGGTTAAGAGAGGGCACGTTGCCTTTTGTGCCTGCTATCTGGGAGAAACTGGGTTCTTGTGTGCCGGCTGCTAATGCAAAACCCACCTAGTAACTGTTGTAAATAAATGCAGCTGAAACTTTTAACCAGAGAAGGACACTGACAGTTTTTCCTGGGGCAAAAATAGTTGGGAAGTGGAGAGGAGAGAAAAACAAGCTCAGCAAAGGAGTCTCCTCTCCCATGTCTCATGTAAAAAGCAAATTAAAACAGAGCTGCTGGTGTGGTTGTTCCCATCGCTTCCAACCTGGTGGGAAAATTAAAGTTTATGTGGGAACAAAGCCAGGGAGGGGATGCTACAACAGGGGGAGAAATCCATTGCTCTCTTGGAGCTGAGTTTAGCTTGGCCAGGAGGTTCATCTGCCCTGGCTTTGGGAGAGTTATATAGCTATCACAGCATAAATACCTGCACCAGAGCAAGTCAACCCAGAGCCTTTGCACCCGGCCAAGCCCTCACACCCTCAATATTTCCCCTCCCAAGTCTCCCATTAGCTGTTTCACCTCCCCAGCCTGCATGATAAAGCTAAGCTGCAGCCAGTTTGTCTGACACATAAACCTGATACCGTGAAATCTCTCTCCTCTTTAGACAGCCTGATGTTTAAATTGCAAGAGCCAAGTAAGTCGATGGTAGTGGGTGGGAGAAAATGGGGTTTTGGCTTGTGGAAGAGATTCCTATGGAAAAAACAATGCAATCCCCCCAGGCAGAGGAAGGGAAGGGTGACAGCATCCTGATGTTGATGGTCCTGGTGTATCCAGGGGCTGAGACACGGTCCTAATAAAGCCAAATGCCCCTCTGGGACCTGAAGAAAGGGAACACCTGAGAAGAGCATTTGTACTTTCCCTTCCCTCCCCATGAATTTCCCACCATCCCCTCCCCATGCCTCTGCTCCATGCTTTGTCCTCTCCCCCTTCTCCTTCCACCCAGGGGTATCTCTGCTGGGGGACCCCAAGCCTAGCGCCAGCCCCAGACCTGCCCGTGCCCCCCATGAAGCATCCAGAGCTGGGAGAAGCAGGAGCACGGGGCGGGTCCCAGATGCTGGGAGGAAAAGAAACATCTCCAGCCTCTCCTGGGGCCAAGCCCTACCTCCAGTACTCTGGTTCTCCCTTGTCCTGCAGCCAACGTGACTCTGGACCCGGCCACGGCTCACCCCAACCTTCACCTCTCCGAGGACCGAAAGCAAGCCAGGGGCCAGCTGACCCAGCAGGACCTCCCGGACAACCCGGAGAGATTTGACTTTGAACCCTGTGTGCTGGGCTGCGAGGGCTTCACCTCAGGGAGGCATTTCTGGGAGGTGGAGGTGGGACAGGGGGGCGTCTGGGCCCTGGGGGTGGCCCGAGCATCGGTCAAGAGGAAGGGACCGATGAGCCTCACCCCCAAGGAGGGGGTCTGGGCGCTGGAGGCTTATCACTCACTCACATCCCCCCGTGCCAACCTGCGCCTGAACCCTCTTCCCAGGAGGATACGGGTCTCCTTGGACTATGAAGGGGGGCGGGTGGCATTTTTCAGCACAGAAGATGATGCTTCCATCTTGGTTTATACCAGAGCCTTGTTCAACGGGGAGAGGGTCTTCCCCTGGTTCAAGATGGGGATGGGGGCTCGTTTGCAAGAAATCACCCAAACCCCACCCTCAGAGGACCAGTCAGTGACGGGGCAGCTGATGTCCCCTCTGGACTGGGTAGGATTCAGATCTCCCCTCCGAATCTGTCCTTGAGCTGTCTGTCAATCAGACCTTAACGAAAGGGACATCTCCTGTGTGATGCCAGCTGTTTGCTGTGGTTGCTCAGAGCATCTCGCCAAGCTAACTTGCTGCTCCTCTCCCATTTCCATCTCCATTGGGAGCTTTGGGATGGCACCTGTACAGCAAGGATGGGGAGATGGGACACCAGCAGACAGCGGTGAGGAGAAAGGATCAGCCGGTATGAGGTGATGGAGTCAGCACATCAGAAGGGAGGGAACATCATAGGGGTTGATCAAGGATGGAGAGCACTCAGGACTTTCAAATGTGTGGTCTTTTTTAATTTATTTTGCCTTTAACGGACTGAATCCTCCTGTTTTTATCTCTTTCCAAAGTGTTTTCTTTCTGACATCAATTGCAAGGCAGACGCAGTGTCTGTTTTGCCAAGGGAGGTGGCCTTTCACTACAAACTGGCTTGGTTTGGGGAGCTGGTCTCTGTCTCTGTCTACATTTCTGATATTTATTTTAAATAAAAGAATATTTTGTTTTGCACTTTCCACTTTCTGCCTTGCTATGGATGTATTTTTCTGGATTTCTTAGCTTTTGGGTCAGCAAGATTAAGAAAAGCTGCACAGGATGGGGACACCTCGCTTACCTTTCCACCTTCTCGTGGTGGACCTCCAGTCATTCAAGCCCCCTTTGCAGGCAGTGAAGGGAAACAAAGCCACCTGGAATGCAATTTTCCACACCATTACGCATGTCCAGCTTCCTGGAGAACTCCGAAGAAAAGCCTGTTTCTCCCTGTGGGCTGTTCAGGAGGGTCAAGGTGGGATAAATCGTACCAGAGGCTCCTGTGGCTGTGCTGGTTAGATATTTCTCGACTATAAAAAGCAGCTGGAGTGGATAGGTGAAATACAAGTTCTGGCATTTTTGCCTAACTCACCTACATTGATTCCCTCAAAAACTGCTGATTTTCTTCTGAGGAAACCCAAAAGAGGAAGAGGCATCACCAAAATAAAGACACGTTATTGATTATAGAACCGAGAAGAGGAACCAGAAGCAAGAGTGGGAGGGAGCGGGCGATGTTGGGCTCAGAATAACAGACGAGATATGAGGGGGCACCCTGTGATGAAGCCCCATCTCACCATCCCCACGGGTCCCATCGAGGGCAAACTTACGGCCGATATTTCGGTGCTGCTCTTTGTCACGCTGTCACATCTGCCCTCCATCCACGCTCCTCAGTCCGGTGCATCGCTGTCACTTGGTCCCATCAGTTGGGAAACATGGGGGATCCCACCGCAGGATAGGCATCTGCTTTCTGCAGAGCCAACCTGAAATCACTGCAGGAGCTCAAGCATGAAGATTTATTAAAAAAGGGCAATCAGGGCTACTGGGAAAGACTTTTGAGCAAAAAGCCTTGAGTATTTTTTGCTCTTTCTCCCATCTCATCCCCTTTCCCTTTGCCACATCTCTGGCAGGGAGGAGCAGATCCTGTGTGTCACCTTGTATGTTGGGTCCATGTCCTGACACCGATTCGAGCCCAGCTGGGAAAGGCAGAGGAGAATACGGATAGACAGGCTGTCAGCGCAGGAAGGACCAAAGAAGAAAACCTGGGTGAATCAGGGGAAAAGCTCCTGAGCTGTTCTGCAAGGACACATTTGTGGGTTGCTGGAGGTCCCTGAACCACCGTGGTCCCACCACGCTCCTCTCAGAGGCACCTGCTGAGAAAACACCAAACCCCAGTAAAACTCGGTGCTTTGCTTGGAGGTAGAGATTGATGTTTTTCTGACTCCTTCAGGGCCACAGGTTCCCTCCGTGTCTCTGATCCCCATCCAGCTCTCTCCCAGCTCCAGCTCTCTTCCAGGGTGTCCCTTCGCTCTAGAAATCTGCAATGTAGATGTCTCCACCCCAGCCAGTTTTCCAGGCTCTGTAGACGCTTTTAGGGTGCGACTCATTTGCCCAACCGTAGGCACCTAATTTTGAGATGAAAGGAGCTCTGCCCTAGGCTCTGCTGACGGTGCAGAGCCGCTCTCCGCCCAAGAGCAAAGCAGCCCAGCTCAGACAGAGGTGTCTCATTAGATGCCAACATTCACCCAGTTACACCCACCTCTTGTGTCTGGCAGGACAGATTGCCTCCCAACCTGCTCACCCCAGGCCATGCTTCCCTGGGAAGTGGTTGCAGGGCGTTTGCTTCCAGTCCTGCTGTTCCCGGAGTGAGCGACTTCCCTGCGGCTCTTCCTGATGGGAATAGTTTGCTGGAAATGAGACTCGCTTCTCCAAACCTGGCCAAGTGATTGCAACTGGGAGAGTTATCTCAGTTGGTAGCTCTTCAGCTGGGTCACAGTGACCCTGTCTCTAAAACTCCCAGTTGCTGCCATGCCAAAAATATATATATTTAGCCATGGAGTTTAACAAAGGATCAGTGGGTTAGAAATTGCTTAGAAACACTTCCCTGTGAGCTCAGAGCCAGGACAGTGCTTCTTGGAGGGCATGTAGTGATGAGTGGCTACAGGCACATTCGTGGCAGGGGTCCCAAGGACCCCAACTTGTGCCCCTTTACGCGCATTGAGTTGCAGCCCCTCTTCCAGCACCTACAAGGTTCTGGCTGCATATTTCCCTCCCCATTTTCTTATGCTTTCCCCATCCACGGTCCCACCAAGCTTCAAGAGCTCCTCACCCTCTTGGCAGCCTGAATGCCTTTTGCCTCCAGCCCTTTCCTGGGAGGGCTGATGGTTTTTCCTAGTGCCCAGCCCTAAAAGGAGAGGGACAAAAGTGGCGAGGTGACGGCCATCAACAGCTCCCCAGAATAAAAAGCTGGAAGATTAACAAGGGAGAAACATGATGCTCCAGGTAGATCAGGCCAAGGGTGTCACCACCTCCTGCCCAGGAGACATGGCACGAAGAGCTGACTCGCCGGCTCAACGCATCCGTGCTGCAGTTTTACCCAGGACTAGGAAGGAACAGGAAGAGAAAGATCCAGCCCCATCAAAGGGATAAAAACAACAGGTTTTTTTAGTTTGCTTCAGAAGAAATTCAGGCGGTTATTAAGTTTTCTGAAGGAAAAGAGAGAAAGTATCCGAGGAAGGACAGCTACCCTGGAGTGCAGAAAGCTGGAGGATCTGGTAGGTGTCAACCTCTCTGACCTCTCATGTCCCTGGGCAGTAATACACCAACTTTAGGGTCATTTCTTTAGATCCTTTTTGGTTGCTTTGCACCGCTGCTGTGCTGGTAAGTGCAGGAATATCACGGCTTTCTGCCCAAGTTCATGCAAGTGTGTTTGTGGCTTTTATCAGCGTCTTTCCTTCCAAAACCGTGTTGCTTTTTTGCATCATTTGATTTCCCCCCCCCCCCCCAATTTCTCCAGGAATTCAAGAAAAGTTAGGAGGGATTTGGGTTCACAGGTGATCTCCTCCTGTGGAAAACGCCTTTCCATGAATTCCTCATGGTATTTCCCATCCCCGCTGCTCCTTCGTTTGCATATTAAAAGGGGATGTTAGAAGCTGAGCCCTGGCAGACCGTGCTCAGATTTTAGGCACACTGCGGGTCCCAGGAGGACATGAGCTCTTCTTGCTTTCACAGCTGGAAGACCTGAAAAATGAGATTGAGAAGAGGCAGGCAAAAAATGCCACCAAACTCTCGGAGGAGATTTCCCAGCTGGACACCCTGACACAAGGTCAAGAAGAGAAGAATCAGCAATCGGTGAGTGAATTCATCCAGTTTACAGCTTTTCAAGGGAAAATTGTAAGGAGGGTCCTCTCCACCAGGTAGCTACTGGCTTAATTAGTTGGGCTTTCCGAGTTCCAGTTTGCTGCTATTCCCCCTGTAGATCTGAAAACCCCAAGGGGATGAGGAGAGGGAGATTTGCAGCCTGGAAAGGTGGGAAAAAAGGGAATGAAATCACTGTCTGTGGGAGGGAACAGTGAGGGCTGGTGGTTCCCTACAGGATGGGGAGCTGAGCATGATAGAGTAGGG